TACGTTTTGGCTGCCACCTCCGCAGTTGTTTCTTCCGTACTTTTCACTCGTTTTGTCTCCGTCAGTCTCGGTGACTTTCCGGGGACAGCACTTTGGGCTATATGCTAGCGAGCGATCATTTTGCAACCGCTGCACACCCATTCAAGTCCATTTTGTTTACTATACAGTGCATAGATCTTCGTAGAGACCCCTGTACACTTTGGTGAGCCCATTTTTCACATGCGTCGCACATTATGCCACTTGCCACCTCTCCCGCACATCTCATTCAGACACGGGAAGTTAACACGCAGCATATTTTGAACAAATATTGCGCAATGCAGGTGAAACTGATAAATATAGGACACCAACTTTACTGTATAACACCAAAACGTGAAAAGTGCGTCAGTAATTACTGGAAAACGGTTAACAGAGCTAGTTTACAAAAACCTTCCGAAAACGGTATAACTGAAGCTAGATATTTTACTATCGAGCTTTCGTTAAAAAGTACTGTAGTAAAACGAACTGTATAGTTCGTTTTACCGTGCTTTTTAGCGCACTGTAGTAAAAATTTACGGTGAGCAAACTACCACTGTATATATAATGCAGCCTTGTAAGAACCACAGCAAATACGCTTTACAACTGCTTAGATAGATTTCCTGTCGATAAAAAGTGAAATATTGTAAGATATTCCACTGAAATAGTACCAAAACTTATTTTCAACCAGAGCACTTCAAAATTTCAAACCGCGCGCTAACGTACCGCAAGGTTGTTGGACAGGACAGATCACAGGACTTGCGGTGGAGCCAAAAGCAGTCCAGTTTCTTGCACCAATGAGCTTGGGAGCACCACGGCGCTGCGACAATTGTATTATTTCGTTCACGTAGACGTGGGTGGGTGCGGTTCTGGAAAAGGAAAACGCACTTCTGATGGTTCCTCTGAGTAAAAGTACACGTGTGAGGTTTTACCAGAATCGAAGCAACAGCTCGCAACCAACCGCTCCGAGCTACCCAGAGTAAAAGGTGTGTTGGGAGAAGAAACATGACCTACAAGTGGTGGTGCTGGATGTTGAGAACTTTCAGTAAAATGTGGCGCCCAGTGCATGAAACATGGAGCTGAGGGAGTCGGAGAAAACAAAGTGGAGTAAAAGATAAAGAGTTTAAAGTGGGGGACCCTGAGACGGACGAGCTTTTGGCGACCTTAGTCCCGGTGTCAGATACAATCGGAAAACGCTGATGCCTAGCATGCGTCAAGCTTGAGCTTGAACTCGGCAATGGTTTTTGACGCCACTACCTCTTGCGGCAGTTTGTTCCGTGTATCAATTACCCGGTGCAAAAAAGGTGGCTCTCAGGCGTTTGAGCGCCCAAGGCTTGTCTAACTCCATGCTGTGTCCCCTTCTTTTGGGCACACCGCTCGGCTGAAGTAGGTAAGAGATTCCCTGAGAGAAACCCTTCAAGATACGGAAGGTTTCGATTAGGTCCCTCCCAGCCTTCTCCGATTGAGTGAGAATAGGTTCAGCCCCTAGAGGCGTTCGGCATATGTCGCTCCCCGAAGGTGCGGGAACATGCGCATAAACCTCTTCTGCACCCTTTCCAGAACCCTTTGGTTCTTCTTCAGAGTAAGGGACCAAGCTTGTATGCAGTACTCCAGATGCGGCCGAACGAAGGCCATGTAGAGCGGGACTAGCACGACAAGATC